AGATAGATAGATAGATAGATAGATAGATAGATAGATAGATAGATAGATAGATAGATAGATAGATGATAGATGATAGATAGATAGATAGATAGATTTCTTAATTTCCCATCTCCCTCAGAGAGGGTCATTTATTACAATATAATAAATGGTTGCTTATCTAATGTTACAGACTTTCTAAACGAGGCCCAGCATCCTAGTTCACCTCAAAACGAAGCTTCGTAGCCTCCATTGCATTTGTGGCAGGCTGGGCCCTTGGGGTTCTCTCCAGGGTCCTCCAGGCAAGTCCCGCCTATTGATGGAGCTGTCAGATGCCGTACTTGGCTTTTGACAAACAAGGCCCAGCTCTCCCCGACTCCCCTAGCAATCAATAGCTGACAGAACTCTTATTGTGGAACAAGTGTTTTCCAGCACTACATGTGGTGTGTGTGTGTGTGTGTGTGCGCGCGCGCGCGGTGTTAAGCCCAGCCTGTGCAGTTTTGATCACTGTTAATTCTTTTGGAAATTTCTGTCAAAACCCACTTCACCAAGCTTTCCGATTATGGCACAGAATCCTGGCAGTATGTTTTTTTTTTTTTTTTTTTTTTACATCTATTCAAAATAAGACCCTGCTGTTTGTTTTAGCGTACAAATTTTTCTAACATGGAACACTTGAATGCTTCTTAACCATTGCCTGGAGCAGGGGTTGGCAACCTTAAAACACTCAAAGAGCCATTTGGACCCGTTCCCCACAGAAAAGAAAACACCAGGAGCCACAAAACCCTTCCCACGCCTGACCATTCCTTGAGTGGCCACAAAACTAGTATATGTAGTTGAATTAAACTTTTCTTGGATTTATCCATAGTTGGCCTACTGGGGGTGAAAAAAGCTCAATAAATCGCGTGCTGGCGGGTGTCGCCCATTGGCGGTTGTGAGGCCTATTTTGAGCAACAGGGAGCCGCAGCAGAGGCACATGCGGCTCCAGAGCCACAGGTGGCTGACCCCTGTCCTGGAGGAAGACTTGCTGGAAAGTGAAGCTAAATGTCTAGAAACATGTACGACCCACCCCCCACCCCCGGATCAATGATTTGGTACTGATCTGAAGCCTGGAGAACTCAACTATTAAGTGTTCATTTTAACAATAACAACAACAATGCTCACCCAAGTGGAGAAGCAAACTTTCCATTCCCTGTTGTTAAAAGTCTGTCCATCAGAAACATTTGCTGATTCCCTGAACCCTGCNTGTGTGTGTGTGTGTGTGTATGTATGTATGTATGTATGTAATCTGAAAGGAAGAATGTGACATAAAAGAGACACAATCAGGAACATCAAGAACTACAAGGTTATTTTTTTCTCATTTGGATAAAAGATTCTATCACTGCCTGCTATCTAAATATGACCAAAGAAAGACAGATATCTTTAAGGCGGAGGATGGGCGGATTATCTGCCTGCTTTGCTTTATATTGATTTGTTTCTTTTAGGAATGCATTCCCCAATTGTCTATAGGAATATACAAATAAAACTAAAAATTACTTTAGAATAAACAGTTTGGAAAATTTAGCATCTCTCCAGAGACAGAAAAGAACAGAGAAGGAAAAAGGAAACTAGTTGGAAGGGCCATACATAGAATACCAATAAATCAGCCAATCCGTGTTCTGATGGTTACAGTAAAAAGCAGATGCTTAGTCCCAAAAATCTTCTTTTTATTTCAAAGGCTGTGAATTATGTTCATTCACAGCCCATAATAAGTCCCAAATAGTTTGTAAAGAGTCTGACAATAGGCTGCCAAAGCCTTTTGGGATAATGCTGATAAGCACCCACCTTTATCTTCCTTGAAACGCTGCCAAAGACTTAATTGGCAGTTAGCTTGGCAAGGCTGCATGGAGCAAAGAGTCAAAATGGAACTTCAGAATGTAAACCAACCAGCATGAACAAAGTTGCTTACTCCTTTATGTCCTATGG